TTTCGTTCATCCTTAGAGAATGCAGGGCTAAGTACATGGGGAGGAGCCCGTCCTTTATCAGACAGGACACTCTAACAGTCCCAATACCAGTACTTCTACCAATACAATGATGTTAAGTACTACACAGAAGGGACTTCAAAATTTAACTATTTTGTCAACATCTCTAAAAGAATTATATTTTGCAGAGATATTCAGAAACGTAAAGTGCTCTCTCTTTTCCCTTCTTCTGTGAGTGTCGGTTCTCACCTCAGTTGCCAGAGTTGTCCCTGGAGGCCCCTGGAATCTACACCTCTTGGGTTGTTGTCCATTTGTAACTTCTTTTCTCCTTAAAGGTTAGCCCCTGGGCTAGCCTCTGGGTTGATGCCACCTGGTCCTACTCCTGTAGAGGGAAAGGGGAGGAGAAGGGTGTGGTTTCACTTGTCTACTATGATACAGCCTTTGAAGCATTGTATGTGTGTGTACATGTGTGCTCATGTGTGTGAGGGTCTGTGGGGGTTGAAGGGACATGTGCGTCTGTGTATGGAGACAAGATGTCACCCGCAGGCTTTGCTCCCTGCGGACCACCCACCTTGTATTTTGGGACAGAGTCTCCTACTGGCATCAGGCTTCCCCGGTTAGGCTAAGCTAACGAGCCGAGGAACGCCAGGCTTCTACCTGTATTTGCCTCCCCGGAGATGGGATTACAATCATGTGCCATGATGCATGGCTTTTTATGAGACTGCTAGGGATCTCTTGCTCACACGGCAAGCACTTTTCTGGTCTGAGTTAGCTCCCTGGTCCCCTTATATGGAATTTCTAAGGCAGGTCCACATAACCAGCCACAAACTTCTTCCCACATCTTAGGATTTCAGAATCCTGTTCTCCTGCCTGTAGACTTTGTTCCCCAAACCCCAGAATATAGCACAGGCAGATAGGTTCTCCTCAATTAGTGTCTAGAAAAGACCATTTTAGTGAGAATGAGATGAGGTCACGCGTTTAATGGGTGTGGCTCGGGCACTAGACAGATAGCTCAGAGGGAAAAATGTTCACACAGCAAGTGTGAAGGACCTGAGGTCGAATCCCCAGGTCAGGGTTGGGAATGTGGCTCAGTTGGTAGAGCGCTTGCCTGGCACTCGCAAAGCCCTCCATTAAATCCCAGTATTGGATAAACCAGGCATGATGGAGCAAGCCTGGAACCCGCACTTGGAAGCAGGAGGATCCGAAGTTAGCTTCGGATGCATAAAACCCAGTCTTTAAAAAAAATATGTTTTTTTTTTTTTTTCCAGTTTTTCGAGACAGGGTTTCTCTGTGTAGCTTTGCGCCTTTCCTGGAACTCACTTGGTAGTCCAGGCTGGCCTCGAACTCACAGAGATCCACCTGCCTCTGCCTCCCGAGTGCTGGGATTAAAGGCGTGCGCCACCACCGCCCGGCTTGTTTTGTTTTTTTAATGTGGCAGTGTGGGTCCATAACTCCAGTATTTGGGGGGAAGGGCCAGAGACAAGAGGATCCCTGGAACCTGCTTGCCAGCTGGTCTAGCTGCACCAGTAAGCTCTGTGTTCAGAGACAGTGTCTCAAAAAATAAGGTGGAAAGAAAGACTCCTGATGTCTACTTCTCTCTACCAGTACACACACGGGGGATGGGGGGGGGGGTGAGGAGAGGTGTGACTTGAGACCACTAAATTCTGTTTCTTATCTTTAGATATTTGATATGACAGGGCAATCAAAATTTGTCCTTAAGAACCTCAGACACTACACAGTCCATCCAAATATGGTAGGTGGAAAAGCCCCCAAGACCTCTAAGGGTGAATTTCAGCAATGGGCCCAGAGATCTGACACAGAGTACCCCTAATACCTCCAAGTATCCCCCAGTTTCCAGGATGGGGAAACAGGAGAGGCTGTTGGGATATGTACTGGGATTTGTTTGTGAGGTGGGCGGAGAGACTCAGGGAGAAAGTGGTCCCAGTTCATTTTATTCTTCAGTAGAGAAAACATAATCAGAGAAAATATGTGTAATCCATGCTTCCTCCCTCCCTTCTGCCCTGGTCTTCCTATTCAGAGAAGAGCAAGTGGGGAGGTGACTGCCCCTTGCCCACCCATACCTGCAGTGACGCCCTCTGCTTCGTGACTGCCTTTCCTTTAACTGCTCTACAGCTAGTTAAGAATGCCTGTGCCTGGAGAGAGATGTTGGAGGAAGTAAGAGCTGAGCTTCTGGGGTTTCCTCTCTGCCTCAGAGGCAGGTGTAGAAAGGCCAACCGGCTGAGCCACAGAAGACTTCTATTTGTGATACTAGGACTAGATGCTAGTGTGTGTGTGTGTGTGTGTGTGTGTGTGTGTGTGTGTGTGTGTGTGAGAGAGAGAGAGAGAGAGAGAGAGAGAGAGAGAGAGAGAGAGAGAGAGAGAGAGAGAGAGAGAGAGAGACTTTAATCATCTTGTTCGGTTACTATGGAAACCCTTCCGGTGCATTTCCCCAGGCCCCTAGCTTATTTGCAGCTCTAAGGGAAGGCTGTGACAGAGAGCTTCCAAAAGTTTTAAAGGCAGGTTTGTTCCGGCCCTGCTCAACCTCTCAGCTTACCCTGCAGGGCGGGGGAAACTGGCCAACTGATTCCTTAGCCCTCCCTTGACCTCATCCCTTCGTCTGTCTGAAAATCTTTCTCTCTACTCAGGCCAAGTACTATGAGCCTTTGAAGCCCAGTAAACTGCAAAGATTCCTGACTCAAAGGAACAAAATCAATAGTTTCATGATGAAAGTGGCAGAGTATGATCAGGATATGACCTTACTGCTCATGACCAACAACCCCCCTCCCTGCTCTGTCGGCCAGGAGGAAAACGATGGTGCTCCGAAATACTTTCCTCCGGAATTCCAGCTCAAGGTAATGGTGCCCAAGAAAGTCTCCTGGTAGCCTAGGTATGGACCAGAGGGAGGGAGGGATTAGAGTCAACTCGGAGAAAGCCAACTGAACCTAGAGAAGGGTTGCCAAGATGCTAACTACCTCCTTCTCATGCCCACTGACCATACATTCCGTGAAATCAGAATGGCTGTGAGTTTAAAGTCTGTGTGGGCTACAAGACCCTGCTGTCTCAAAACAAAACAGTAAAAAAACATAATTGTGGAACATATTCAGTAAGCTAAAACCTAGAATATGACTATGAAGATTATCATAGGATAAATTCTACCTTGAAGAATCTTGGAATCCAGTAGATCAGAAAAGGATACACATTAAAAGAATTCTACTGTACCAGGATATGTGAATAATCCAAGAATACTTAAGATATGGAAATGATATAGACTAGAGAAGAATCTCCCTGTTGGGGAAAGGGGAGTAATCAGGGAGGTGTCTCACCACAAAAGAAAAGGAGAATGTTCCAATCTGAGGGAATTGGGAAGGCTTGGAGACATAAGAAAGTGAGGTGCTTTCATGGAGATCTAGAGAGAAATTTGTGATTTAGAAAGCACATTTGCAGGTTGAAGGGAGGTGCATTAGTTACCGAAGAGACAAAAGCCAGCAGGATTAGTTAGGATGTTACTTTCATAGTTGAGATGATCAATGCTGAAAATTTGAACTAAATTCAAAATAGCAGAGGAAGTGAGGAAAATTGATTTAAGAGTCAGGAGCTAAGAAAGATGTTGACAGCCTGGAGAGCAGGCCCAGTCTAACAGGAAGAAATGAAAGTACGAAGAGAAGAATCTAACAGAGATTAGAGTCTGGGAATGGGCTAGCCTCAGAGCAAAATGTGAACTGGAGTTAGTACTTCTGTAGTCACTGCATGGGTGGCAGCCAAAACGCAGTGGTGGATACTGAGAAAGAACTCGTGCATTCATTGTCTGTGGTCCCCTGGGTCTCAGAATTTGTGCCCTTTGACAGTAACCTCAGTGTTTGTTGAGACAGTGGGTGTAATGTGTTTCTAAGAAAGAAACAAATGTGGATCAGAGCTGCTCTCCTTAACACAGAGTAGGGAACCAAGCAAACACATAACCCAAGTGCACAAAATGCTGTCTTCCCAAAGCTGTCCCTTGTGAGTCCCCGAGGTCAGGCGCAGGACCTGATCGTCCTCATGAGCAAGCAGCACGAGTGGGATTGTATCAGTGGACAGGGTTAAGGCTCTGATTCTGAAGACTGGAAAGCATGGTATCTTTACTCTTCCTGCTGCACACACACCCCCAACACTGTTTTGGTTCTAGGACTCCTTGCAAACAAAGTATTCTTTCCTGTGCCCACGCACAGTATAGATTCCAGTAAGCAAGCTGAAGTTGTTGCCCTCGGCCCCTTCTAAGTGACTCTGGTCCTAGCACTGTCTCCTATGAGAATGCCTAAGTGGCTTTGTTTTGCACAGTATAACCCTATCTCTACTCCTAATATGGACCAGGTATGGATACAAGACCCAGTGTTGCTAAAGTCCTATGCTGGTAACTGACCTGAGGTGCAGATTGGCACCTCCAAACCCAAACAAACCAAAACTAAACCAACCAACATACTAGCCCCCAAATCCCTCAGTAAGTCCCAGATTTTCATTTCTAAGCACCCAAATTAGAAAACGAAAAGATTAAGGCAATGGGAATGAAGATTGAAAGGGCACACAGAGGGCTGGGCAGTGGTGGCACACGCCTTTAATCCCAGCACTCGGGAGACAGAGCCAGGCGGATCTCTGTGAGTTCGAGGCCAGCCTGGGCTACCAAGTGAGTCCCAGGAAAGGCGCAAAGCTACACAGAGAAACCTTGTCTCGAAAAACCAAAAAAAAAAAAAAAAAAAGATTTTAAAATTATGAAAATAAGAGCTTAGTATGTCAAGTGACACCCTGTCTCTTCTACTGTGTGCCAGACCCCATGAAGGCTGAGAGACTAGGGGTGTATTGGCAAGTAGCATCTTTGCTTTGCTGAAGTCTAGTGACTTATCTATGCAGACCACAGGCAAAGAAGCAACCACGCAGATCACCCATAATGTGACAGGCGCTTTGAAAATCAGGAACAGGAAATGGAACGTGAGTGGGAGTTTGAGATGGTGTGATTCAGGGAGGTTCTCAGGAGAGGCTGTGACTACTCAATAGATATTTAGGGCTGGGAAGTAACATGGGATTGCTGCTCCCAGCATCCTGGTCTCCTTTTACACAGCCTCACATTAGGAAAACATTGATCGGAACTTTCTCTCGAGAGATAAATCAGGAGAATAAGGCAATTCAAACTGAATCAGGTGAACAGTTCCAATTATTGACGATGCTTATCTTGGGAGAAACAGCCTAGGAGGTACGTGGTGGTTATCTTCAAAATTTTTGAGCATGCTGTGCAGGAGGCATTGGATTCCTTCTGTTTAAACTATTTTTGAAAAAAGCTACAAGGAGATGGATATTGGTTGGTTGAAGAGGAAGCTTATTATTCGCACCGTTTGTCATGATGATTAGTGTGTGTGTTACATGAGGAGGAGGAAGAACAGGCATGCATATATTAGATCATATGTGGAAATCAGAAGACAGCTTTGTGGAGTGAGTTCCGGGGTTGGAGCTCAGGTCTCCAGGCTGGGTCAGCAAGTGCCTTTACCTGCTGAGCCAGCTCACCAACCTCTTGTGTTGGGTTTGCTCTTTTTTTTTTTTTTTTTGTATAGGACAACGGGATCACTTGGCAGGGAGATTATGGGTGGGATACGAGTGCCAGATGGACAGTCACACTGGATGACTTTTAAGAGTCTGAAAGCCTTTGATTATGTGACCTTCAGGAATGGTAAAATTATTACCTCATAAGACCTTTCATTCTATAGCCATTCCACAGCAGAGAAAAGAATGTAGTAGATAAGGCAGCTATCTCCAAGGAAGGAAGGTAGTATTCCATGGGTCTGTTTCCCATTTTACTCCTAAATATTTGGTCTCCCAAGCAATTCACTGATTGGGTCTAAGTGTGCCGTGTCAGAGACACAGAGAGGCCCATCTGTGTCTTCACCCCATGTCAGAATTCACTGAATAACAATAAACTCACAGGCGACTTTGCTTTCTCTGGTTGGCTGCAATTTGCCAGGCAGTCCTGATTTCCCTTGATAGCTGACTGCTGGCAGACACAGATCGTTTGATGACAATCTTAACTACTAATAAAAAAAACCTCTGCATTTTGTACACATTACACATCACACAGCAAATCTATCTGTCCCTCTATCCATCTATAGACATGAAGGTTTCCGAATGGCTATTATAGAGGCTGCAGAGTTTAGGAAGCTTAAAGAGATCTTACTGGAGGCAGAGGCAGAGAGCTAGAATGGATGCTAAAGAATTACCAGAAGTAGTTAGATAAGATTAACAAGCCATTTGGAGAAGACCCCAGTTGGAAAGGTACCTGAAGCTCGGAGCTGAGTGGCAGTGTTTCAGGGTCCAGCTGAGCTGGGAGGCAAAGGGCCATGGTGATGAGGCGCAGCATGGGGCCTGGATGGATGATGGAATGGGTGGCTGGGCAGACAATCAAGGAAGCCTTGCCAAGTGGTGGAGACCAAGCTGAGCTGAAGCCTCAGGGGCAGTCATGAGTTCTCAACCTGTCAGTCCCCTGGCACACACACTGGTCACATGACCGGTCTCTGGGACTGCCTCCATCAGTGTTAGGTGTCTTCCTCTTTATGGAGTTCAGGAGAGAGCCGTTGGTCTGTTGTGTCCAGTAAGGTCTCGGGTTTTTCTGATATGGTTTTACCTTGCAGTTTTAGGAATAAGTTACTTTCCAGTCTGCCACAGGATTGGTGCTGAACGGGAGAAGGTTTCTCTGTGTGTTACGAAATACAGAATCCTCCTCCTCTGCCTTTGCACTCAAAATGAAGCCAAAGAAACCTGGAGAAAGGCACAGCTAGAGAGTCGCTGTTTTACACAATATGGAGTAACTTAGGGCAGGGCACAGTTGTGACTGCCATAGACTCTTTCCCCAAACCTAGGAACTCCCTCTGCCACTCGTTTTCAGGAGCCCATAACTAAGTAGCTCAGCCAGTGACTCAGGAAACGGACCAAGCTCTGGGAAAGGTACCTGACAACAAATCTCGTGTTTTCCCACTCCTCTCGCTGTGGTTTCTGAGTTTCCACTTTTCCCTCTGGTGGGTTGGGTGCATCATTTCCCCCGTAACCCACTCTCATTTAGTCCAGGAACTCAGCTCAGTCTGTAAACTTGTAGGCATTCAGCTTCCTTCCTCCTTTGCTCTTTTTTTTTCCCCTTCAGGAAACTTGCCATCGGCGCAAACCCACCAAGAACTTCTGCCTTCTCACAATGCCTCGGAAAAAGGAGTTAAGGCCAGATCTGAAGTCAGTCTTCCCTATGATCCGGATAGGTGACCCTGCAGCCAAGGGACACCAGTGGTTTAGGTGAAGTGCCAGCTCTTGCTATGCTTCTTTCACTCGCTTTTTCTCTTCTCTTTCCCTTGTGCGTACTGCTAGGTCATTTAGCAAACACACATGGGAACCCAAGGGGGTTTAGGGTAAGGCCGACTGGAAGAGGATGCAACGGAGAAGCGTCCTCCTGCGGCTTTGGCTGTAAAGGAGATGTCAAAACACCTAAGACGGCCTTCGTGTTCCATGAGCTAAGTGCTGTCTTCAGCAGCAGGGCCTTACCATCAGGGAGTGGAGACAGGGCCGCACTTTGGCACACAGGAACTCAGAGACTGTGGCAGCTGGTACAAGACCCAAGCAGCTTCGAGACAGAAGGGTCCCAGCACTGAGAAGTAACCAAGGAACTATCTGCAATTAAGACCCACAGGCAAAGGGAAAAGTGGTTTTCTCCAATGGAGTCTCACTAGGTGTATTGACTACATTTCAGGACAGGGCCCAAACCCAGGAAGAGCTGACCAACACAACAAAATAAAACCAATGGTATTTTTTGTGGACTTTTAATTTAATTGATCTTTGTTTTTAGCATTTTATTGGTCTTTTGCTTGTTTGTTTAGATTTTCTTTTTTTTTTTGTGGGTTTTTGTGTTTCTTATTTTATTTTTTTTTAATTCTTTTTTTGGAGAGAGAGAGAAAACAGTTGAATGAGGAGGATCTGAGAGGAATTGAGGGAAGGGAAATCATGATCAAAATTTTTTGTATGGAAAACATTTTTTTCATTAAAAAGGAAGAAAAAAAAAAAAAGCAGGGTGGCGGCGGCACATGCCTTTAATCCCAGCACTCCAGAAGTAAAGGCAGGCATATCTCTGTGAGTTCGAGGCCAGCCTGGTCTACAGAGCTAGTTCCAGGCCAGCCAGGGCCACACAGAGAAACTCTGTCTTGAAAAAACAAAAACACAAAATGAAACAAAGAAACCAAAAAAGAAGACACTCTGACCTATGATATCACTTATATGCTAATGAAAGAAACACAGCAATGCAAAAGTAAAGTTTTCCACTGATGATGATTTCAAGAATGAAGGAAAATGTATTCTAAGGTCTGTTTGGAGGAGACAGCAAAATGAAAGTGTGAGTTAAGGACCAGAGGAGCAAATGCTATGAGGATACAAAATAAGAGGAAGTTTTGGAAGGCTGGGGAGTTGGCTCAGTTAAGTGCTCACTGCACTCATTTCAGGCCTGAAGTTTGATCTCTGGCATCCAGGTCAAAAGGCCAGGCTGTGGGGTGCAAACTCGGATTGTCAACACTGGGAAGCGGAGACAGGAGGATTCCTGGAGTTTCCTGGCCAGACAGTCTAGCAAACTAAAGGTTCAATGACAGCCCCGTCTCACAAAGTAAGAGACTGATTGAGGAAGACACCCACACATATCTCTGTCCTCTGTAGCTAGAGTTTTCCTGCCTGGCCCACAGTCAGGACAAATCTCTGACACCCTCCAGTCCCACAGCCGCTCAGACCCAACCAAGTAAACACAGAGACTTATTTTGCTTACAAACTGTATGGTCATGGCAGGCTTCTTGCTAACTGTTCTTATATCTTAAATTAATCCATTTCTATAAATCTATACCTTGCCACGTGGCTTGTGGCTTACTGGCATCTTCACATGCTGCTAGTCATGGCGGCGGCTGGCAGTGTCTCTGACTCAGCCTTCCACTTCCCAGAGTTATTCTCCTCCTTGTCCCGCCTACACTTCCTCCTGCCTGACTACTGGCCAATCAGTGTTTTATTTACTAACTAATCAGAGCAACACATTTGCCATACAGAACATTCCACAGCAGTCCTCCACACTTGCGTGCACACATATGCACCTCTGTATGCACAGATGCATGCACACACATGAGCAATTTTTTTAAATAAACATAAGAAGGTTTTATTTGAAATTATTCATAGGAGGAGAGTTTGTCTCATATTGAGAAGACAGGGGATTCTGGAATTAGCTGAAAGGTTTGTAGTGTGACCACTATCCCAACTCCTCCATTTTTTTTTTTTAACCAATAACCCCAAACCCCTGGTCATTGTCCTTTCTCGCTTGGGATCTCTGAGGATGTGGCTGACTTTTAGGTGACTAGCCAGTAACCCACAGCCCTAGATCAACCACGTGTACTTTTGTTGGTTAAGGTTTTCCACTGAGAATGATTTCAAGACTGAAGGGAGGTATTCCGAAGTCTATGCTTTGAGGAAACAGAAAAAAATGTATCCTAAGCTCATCTTCGCTCCAGTCTGCCAGAGAAGGGCAAAGAAAGATGGTAAGCTCTCCTCTCTCCGCACTGTGCCTTACAACACTGAGATGTGGCCTGGAGGGAGAATCTGCCGGGCTTAGAGAGTTGCTTGAGCTGGCGTCTGTCCTGATGGGTCCAAACACTACTTTTCCTTTTTTTTTTTTTTTTTTTTTTTTTTTAACCAGAGCTGAGGACTGAACTCAGGGCCTTGTGCTTGCTAGGAAAGCGCTCTACCACTGAGCTAAATCCCTAACCCCACTACTTTTCCTTGTAGAAGGAAACTTAAGATGGTGCTAGACTATTCTGATACTCAAAATTAGAGAAGGCTCAAGAAAGTATAGGGTTTCCTGAATGATATCATCTACTGCTTTCATAGTTTTTGCCATAATGATGCATTTTAAAGTAAAAAAAAAAAAAAAAAAAAACAAACCTCTTAAACTAAATACTATAATTGCTGACAACATTGCTTTGACATTTAGGTACATATAGCTTAAAATGTTTATCTGTGTACAACCTAAAGCCTCTCAGATGTGTGCATATCATACTTTCTGGAAAATGGCTTTAAAGGGCCAAAGGCTAAGTCAGGAGGCAGAGGCAGGCAGATCTCATGAGTTTACCTGGTTTACATAGTGAGTTTCAAGACAGCTAGAGCTACTTAGTGAGACCTTGTCTTGAAAGGACAACAAAAAGTATGAGTCTCAGGGCCCCACAAGTCTCTTTGAGATAGGGCTGAGAAGAGGGTGGAAAGGGGTTTATAGAAGAAGGTATAGTAAGAAAGTTCATATATTGTCTCTCATTTGAGAACACCCATGGAGGGGAGCTCTGTGTTAGACTTGTACTGAACACCAAAGGTATAGACAGTCTAGACCAAGAAGGACCTTGTATAGTATATAAAAATGGGCTTGGATTTTCTCCATTAAGTATTTGGGCCTCACTGAAGGGTTTCGGGGTGTCAAATACATCTGTATATTAGACATGCAACTGACTTCACCAACCATAGCTTTAGCCTAAGACAGTCATTTTTGAGGGATACAGGTTATATTATACCACCCCTACATTGGCTCCTTTCATCTTCTCTGCTCTGCCTGCACCGGTTTGCCGTCTCTTCCATTCTATCCCTACCTATGCTTTTCCTTAACCCATATACAACTAAAACCACCTGTAGTGAGGGGGAAAAAAATGGATCAATGTATAAAAGAGCTGAAGAAGCAGAGTGGTCCATCTTGCTTAAAGAGTCCAGCCTCACCCCACCTCTAGTTTCTTCTCTCTTCCACAGATCTCCTTCCCATTCCCTGTTCTTGGAAATTGCCAGGTTTCATGACCATGTCCCTACCTGACTCCCAATAACTATGGGCCAAGGGAAAAGAGGGTCTCTATAGCAGGTCTTTCTTGTTAGACTTTCTTTGAACTACCAGCTCCCAAATAATGACACAGAGACTTAATATTAATTATGAAAGCTTGGCCTTAGCTTCGGCTTGTTTCCAACTAGCTCTTATAACATATTAATCTAAATTCACCTGTTTATATTAATCTATATTCTGCCACATGACTCTTTACCTCTCCTCCACACTGTACATCTAACTACCTCTGCATCTCACTGGCTTAATCCCCAGCATGCCTCAGATTCTCCAAGTTCCTCCCCCACCCCCAACTCCTGCTTATCCTCTCCTGCCTAGCTATTGGCCATTCAGCTCTTTATTAAATCAATCAGAAGGTGCCTTGGCAGAGACACATCTTCACAGTGTACAAAAAGATTATCCCACATCAGGTTTCTCCTCCAAAGCCTGGTTATTTTATTAATTTTATTTTATGTATGAGTGTTTTGCCTACATGTTGTGTACCACATGTGTGCTTGGTACCCAGAGATAGGAAGAGAGTACATCAGATTCCCTGGAATTGGAGTTACTAATAGTTGTGTGCTGTTAATTAAACCTGGGTCCTCTGCAAGAGCAACAAGTTCTCTTTAAGTACTGAGCCATCTCTCCAACCTCTATCATAGCATTTCCAAGCTGATATCTCCTCTGTCCCCCAAATGTTGTCCCGTGATATTGTGTGTGTATGTGTGTGAGAGATCTGGGTAGAAGTTGTTAGAAGCTGGTTAGGAGGTTGCCTAAGAGGCAAACCACGCCCTGAACCGAGGACAGCAGTTAAGATCCTTCATCAATAGACAACGCCCTAAGAACAGGTGAAGCCAGAAAGACCATCTAGAAATGTGACGCCATCCATGCTAAAGGTAGAAAAAGTGTGTTATTCATACTCCAAGACGAGAAGGAAAATGAGAAAACATTTTGGGAAAGCACTGAGGCATGTGATGAGTGTGTCCCTTAAATTACTTTAGTGTTAATATGGCTGCAGATTGAATCATTTGAAAAGGGTGAGCGCTACGAAGACTACACTGGCAGTGGGTTTTGGTGAAGAAGGAATCCAGAACCCTAAGAGGTCAGGAATGGCAGTCCCAAAATCTCCCCTCTTGGTAAGAGTGAAGACCAGCTTTCTGGTCCCTCCAAACGTATCGCATCACGCCTTCCTTAAGTATCCTTCTAGTACTTTCGGAGATGCACTTTCAATGTGTCCTGTGCTTTGTTGTAGCTTCCAAGAAGTCAGAGGGTGAGACACCAACTTCGCAAGTGCTCTGGGAACCACTGACATTTTCAAAGCTCCTGGAAGAGAAGCCCACCAGATGTGTGCCAGGAGATAGCGTCTTTCGCTACGGGAGGGCCCAGCAGTGGGTTATCAAAAATGCCGCTGTCATTAAGTGAAGGCAAATCCTTCAAGTCCAACTCCTGGCTCTCCAAGAAACTGGGGAGGCCTAGAGAAGTCACCAACCAAATAAAGTTCCACACTTGCTGCCTCAAACCTGGGTTGCAGAGGCTGGGAAGCGGGGCGGGGCAAGCCTCGGGGCAGCGCCTGGCCCCGCCCCTGTGCGGCAGTGGGCGGAGCAGAGGGCGTGCCTGCGTCCCTAGGGGGTGAGGGCGGCCACGGCTGCCCGAGGGGGGCGGGCCTTGGCCCCGAGTGACGGCCCGCCGGCCCAACCGGTGTGAGAATACGGGGCCGGCCTTCCTGCAGCGTCTTCCGCTCGCCGGCTGCGGCGCCTGGGACGGTTGCGGTGGGTCTGGGCGCTGGGAAGCCGTCCAAGATGATTAAAAAATTCGACAAGAAGGACGAGGAGTCTGGTACGCGCGGCGCTCCGGACGCCCACCCTCAAGCGCAGAGGTCCCCTTCCCTCACCCGCAGCCACCTGCTCCGGGGGGCCGGCCGCAGCGGAGGGGTCTGCCCGAAG